ATTGCTTCATGCAACATTAACGCTATTCTAATTAATGTTAAGAACGTATTAAAAATCTGTGTTCAGTTTTTATAATGGGGAAGCATAACATAGCAAAGTCTATTTCCATAGGTTCTCCCAACATCTCCTCATCCTCAATAGATATTTCTGGAATAGTTTGTCAATAATTTGTGAAATCTAGTTGAGTTGGAGACTCGAAGCATTGCTTCTTCTGAATAGGTATAATTTCATTAGATGAATTTTCAATTTTTGCTTTAAATTTCTCCATTAAATCTACAGGTAGAATACCATCAAACATATCTAGTATAATTTTTGAAGGACTTATCAATACAAGTTGGTTTATTTTGTCCTCTATCAAAAGTTAATTTTCCACTCTGTTAGCTGAAATTTCATTTTCACTTAATCATTCTGTTTTACCTGTTGTATTAGTATGTTGGTATGATTATTGTTCTAAAAAACATCCTCTAAAATATGGATGCCCTCATGAAATTAGTAAATCATTATGATGTAATTTCATTCAATTCTATTGCAGGAATGGTACATATGATAGAGAGATTTGATTTTAAAAATGAATTCTTTGCAAATAAACTTCTTTTTTAATTTATTTAATTAAATACCTGTTATTTTTTTTTTATTTATATTGATTTTAGTTAAATATTCCTTGAGGATCTTTGTAAATTTTATAATAAAGAATCCATGAAATTTAAGGAATCCTTAAATTTCCTGATGATTATACTTTAAATTATAACTAGAATAAAGGCAAATACAGTCAACCCTTATCTCAACAAATCTAAAGAATTATGTATAGTATAGGTATTGAATAGGTACATACGGAATGCATTAGAAAAACGCACTTGATACAAAATAATATTTTGGTCTGGACAATAAAAAAGGGGCCTTTTTAGTAAAAAATGGAACTAATATAGTATATAATCATTACATATGTAAACTCGATAAGTCGGTCATGCTCATATGACCGACTTATCGAGTAAACCGACTTATCGAATTAAATTACTTAAATATTAAGAAAATGGGGTGAAAATTTTGGCCGTCTTATCGAGTAACCGACTTATTGAATTTACATATGTATTCGTTAATTTGAGATATCTGTAAAAAGCATCTTTATAATCAAATCACGTGATATCAGTTATATGTTAATCTCTCCATAAGTGCACCACCCTCTCTATAAATGCATACACTCCATAAATACATATCTCATTACCAACTTTGAAGGTTAGAGATAAATACGCACCCTTCATACTCTACATCGCATTGTTTTTTCCCAGTCCCATTTATATTCTCTAAATGCACGCCCGCGACTTTCACGTGATTAATGTGCAGCAAGAAAATAAATCAATCATTGTCGCTGTTTTTTCTTTTTTCTTTCTCTATTAATCCCTCTTTGAGAATTAAATTGATAAAGACTTAATTTGATTATATGTCCTGTTTAAACATATAAAAAGAAACCAGAAATACTTACTGATAATAATGAAGAAGATGATTATAGCACTTTAATCATAAGTTCGAAAAAAGTTTGGAAGTTGTCCACGCTTTTTTACTACAACAAGAAAATTCTAAAGAACAAGTTAATTTTGTTGATAGGGATGTCAATTTAAAAAAATAAATTCAATGAAGCAAACCACAATGAACAATTTTCTTTTAGCATTGTATGACAAGTGTCGCGTGGAACCAATAAAATTCTTTCTCTCTATTAAAATGCACGCGCTCTCAACCATTCCCGAGGTACTAAAAAATTCTGACAATTACACTAGTTCAAAATAGCAATGATCTTCATTATGGGTTCTTAAAAATATCCGATAAATCAAATATATATGGACCGATAAATCAAGATGATTTATAAATAATCGTTATCTATAACACACAGATTCGGTTTTGAAATTTATCAATCGAGATGCACTATGTATGTATTGCCGTGTGCGGAATTATTTTCTACCTTTCTGCCTTTCTGCCTTTTGTTCTTGTTGAATTACATTATAATTTGATTTTTTTGCCAAAGGCGGACATTTAAATAGACAGGTTTGAAAATTTCTACTATATAGTATGAGATGTGCAAAGGATCTAACATCACGTGGTAGCCAACCAATGGAATGAATATTGGCTAAAATTTTGACCGCACGCATTATCATGATTTTTTCATTATATGCCAAGTTGCCAAGTAAATTAGATTGATCATTCTATGTCCAACGTTTGTTTATTTTTAAATGACCAAATAGCATTTTAAAAACTTTCTAAAAACAGTAATTGTCAAAAAACATTATTTTATTTAAATTCGAGATTTCTTATTTATTTTTAGCAAATTAAAAATAGAGACAAAAGATCTGCCAGGGAGAGAGGCAAAGTTTTTAGAATGAATGAGTGAAGGCAAAGATCCATCTTTGTAGATATTAATTTTTAAAAATATAAGTGTTATGCTCTTTCATACAATTTAATAATAGCTTCACTAACCATTTATGATTTATAAAACTATGACGACAATCACAATTCAAACATGCGTTTTAATACATACATATATCATTATAAGTAGTGATGCAATGAGAGCAATCTTTATATCAAATAACAAAAAAAACTTTATATAAATACTTGAAAAAAATAACATTCTCTGAAATTTTTTTTTTCTTTGAACAAATTTGTTTTACATCTTTTTGTCATAAATAAAGACATTTATAACAATAACAACATTAAAAAATCTAGTAAAAAAAATTTGCTTAATAATAAAATCACGAAGAAATCATGGCAAAGAAATTATTTGTTGTTATTGCTATTTTGTCATCTGCAATATTCACAGAGGCGCAAGTGCCTACTACAACTTATCCACCAGTTGATGTACCACCACCGTTTAAACCAGAATGGGCAATCGACTTGAGTCAAGTCCCAAATGCTCCAATTGTTCCAAAAAATAAAGTAGGTTCGGATTGTCTTGCTAATGACCCATTTTGTGATTGGAGTTGTACAAATTGCATAAATCAAACTACTGATTATGATCGTTGTCCTGATAAAAATGGTAAAATTTCAAAATTTTTTATTGTTTTGTTATAATTAAGTGTATTTAATTAATTAATTATTAATTAATTTTTATGAAACATAGTATGGGGTATAACTTATGATGATGGTCCTTCGTAAGTAAAATAAAATAAAATTTCATTTTCTTTTATCTATCTATATATTCGAACTCGAAATAATAATAAATATTTATTTTATATAAATAAACAAATAGAGAATATACACCGGCAATTTTAGATCATCTTAAGGCAAAAAATGTAAAAGCAACATTTTTCATTGTTGGCTCCAGAGTTACGGAAAATCCTGATATTTTAAAAAGAACTTTTAATGAAGGTGAATTAAAAACATCTATAAAATTAAAATTATATGAATTTTGACATTAATGAATGATAATTTACAATTTTATAGGACATCAACTCGGAGTCCACACTTGGTCGCACACACAATTAACAACTCAAACAAACGAAGAAATTATAGCCGAGATAAAATGGACTGAACAAATCATCAAAGAAACAGTTGGCGTGACTCCTCGCTTTATGAGACCACCATATGGCGATATAGATAATCGTGTTAGAGGTGTACTTGCCTTATTAGGATATAAAGTTGTTATATGGGATCATGACACAGATGATTGGAAGTCAACATATGCAGGTTTTGTACCGGATTCTATTACTACAGATTTTACTGAATGGGCAAAAAATACAACCGCAACCACTGGTCATATTTCTTTGGAACATGACTTGTATCCTATAGCTGCTAAAATGGCAATTCCATCCCTTGATATTGTTTTGGGTGCTAATTTTCAAGTAGAACAAGTGGCCAAGTGTGTATCTGAATCTCCATATCGTGAATTTATTGGTTTTCCTGGTGATAATTCTACTAGCCCAACTCCAGCAATTACTACTAGTGCCATGACACCAACTACAGCAACGGCATCGACAGCGACGCCAATATCATCACCAAAACCATACAGTTCTAACCCATCATCATCATCATCATCAATATCATCATCACCATCATTAACATCAAATATTTCGTTAGCAGTAGGAATAATTAGCATAATACTCACGTTTAATGTTTTACTTTCTAATATTTAATTATTAAGATGTTTGATTATTAAGATTTTTATACATTTATGAAATAAAATTCAATATTTATTAATATAATAGAACAAATATACATATGTATGCGATGAATTTTATAAATACTTGGTATATATATATATATACGATAAATATATATAGTACTTTGCATTATAAATTATATTCAATTCTTCTTCAACAAGGAAAAATATCTCTAAATTTTTTATAAAACACAATGCGTAATCCGTTTCTAAGCTAAAATTATCCTCGACACGTCAATACCAACTGCATGCTAACATTTCTTGATTTTAATCCATTCGTTCACACTCACCTCTTACACAATCTTTCCACGCTATTATCACTAAGATTTGGTAAAACCGGTCGTTTTATTTTTCACGCATTTTCCGTCAATGATTAATAACCATTATTATTTTAATTAAAATGTCGTTGTTTGAGAAAATGTTTTTAGCGTTATAAAAATTATAAGTCATAAAACATCTGATTAATGTTAGGGTGATGTCCATTTAACCGTTGCAAAGGAATTTTTTTAATTAGAAAATTTTCTCCAAAACTTCTTCATGCATATTTAACATTTCTACATAAATATATATTTCTGCTACAGAGGACAAATATATTCTTTCTCATATTCTCATGATAACTGCTATTACCATTTATTAGATTATTTTCTTTATTTTTTTTATTGTTTAACGAGGAATTGTTAGTGAGACATTGTTTTTTGATTTACTATACAGTATATATATTAGCGGAAATTATTATTTGTGACTCGGACACGATCTCACAACACTGAAAATTTCCAATTTTCTTAAAAAAAAAAACGGCAAAAAATAACT